CCATACGTACAAACGACTCACAAATTTGGCATTCCTGGATTTTCAAGGCGTCTTCAACTAGGTTGACCGGTCTATTCTCCTTAAGTCGCTTAACCAGCAAGCGATGCCCTGAAGGTTTATGAAGACAATAAGCTCTTTGTAATCTCAAACTTTCTAGCGTGGGAGTATACGGAGTTCTCAAAAAGTTTCTGCACACAAGGCAGTATCCGTCAGGGGTGCCCATTCTCCCCATCCCTATTGAGTTTCGTGATCGATGAGATAATCAGACGAAAGCTGGGTCTGTAGAAATGTGATGCTCAAACAGCTGCTGACGGAAACCTTGTTGATTTGGAATATGCAGACATCATTCCCGTCTTCGAAAAAAGCAAGGCGCATGAGTTTTTGGACGAAATGACCAAAGTCATCTCGTCCTTCGCTATGCACTTTCCACCCACAAAGTGTAAAGTCATTCTCCTGGACATGGAGTCACTGAACACGCTACTTACAAACCAGGGAGAAACACTCGATGTTAGGGAGCGAGAGTTGTATTATTTCCGACTGTAGTGTGACATACAAGGTCAATGCACGAATCTGCAAGAATCGGATTGCGTTTGCTAATTTGAGACACCTATGGTGTTAAAGCAGTATATCCCTGAATATTAAGGGACTCTACAGTGCGAGCTGTTTTGTTATATGGTTGTGATACCTGGTCTGTTCGACCAGCGAAACTGAGACGTCTTCAAATACTCGACAAGCCTTGCCTCAGAACCATAACTCGTGTGGGTTGGTGTCGGTCGATCCGTAATACGGCAATTAGAAAGCGAGTATTCGGTTATGAAAAGGGAACTCCCATCAAATAATGTATCCAGGTGCATTGATTAGGCCACGTATTACGCATGCCGAAATACCGTTTGCAGGAAAGGGTGCTATTTTCCGTGCCTAACTAAGAGCGGCGGAAGCAGAGGTTGTCAGCTCTTGAGCTGGCTGAGGAGTATGAAAGAAAAGCCTGTGTGCTGTCGGTACGAGCCACCTTCCAGGATGGGGACCAGATGACTCTCATTTTGCCTGGTTGGAGACGCTGCAAGATATAACTGTTAATCGATGTCAACGGCATTCCCGTTGTTCATTTTTACCTCTTCTTAAACTTTTAGGTTTCCCTCTTCTATCTTACCCCCCCCCCCGATTTTAACAAACTCGCCACATGTCCCAGCATCAGGACTGACAGTTTTGCTCCCCGTACATCACATTCAACTGCAGCTTCTGTACGTCCGACTTCACTTACAGTCCCAAACACTTCGAAATCTGTTTTATAAGCCCGAAAGCTACCCTTAGTGCCTGTAAACTAAAGCAAACAGGGCAACAGATGGATCTTACTCGTACACTGGATTACTTCTGCATTGATGCGTGCTGTGTGTCAGAAACAAAGATATACTGCTGCGATTGAACCGAATGCCCCCTCGCTCTCTTCCAGGTTCCGGCTGCACACCTCTGGTGACGCGGAAGCCGTTGCAGCTGGATATTCTGGGGTGAGTAGTGTATTGAGCGAACGAGCAGAAGCGTTTCTGCCTGATTGGATGCCCGTTGATAGTCGCCTCTTTGCGGTTCGTTTGGCAACATCTGTGAGAGACTCTAGAGGAAGTGAGGTTCATCGTATTGTGTGCTTATACCACAGCCGACTGTTGCTCTGGGTCTGGGAAAGACAGTTTATATGGCGCTCTATGTGCTATTTTATAACGGACTAAAAGCTCAGATATAGCTGTGTCTGCTGCTAACACGAATGCTCAGGTGGGTAGACTAGGCACTGCTGAGGGCCGATTGGGTGATCGTCTCGGAGTGAAAGCAAGATGCACGGAAAACGATTGCTTGCTTCAGATCTGTGCATATCACAGGCTGCTCCTTTGCAGTACAAATTTTGGGAACAGGGGGAAATACCCTGATAACGTGATACCCACCCACAAACCAGCACTGATTCCAAATAGACCACATCACCGTCAGTTATCAGTGGCGAGGGTTGATGACCGCCTGCCGCTCCTCCTGGAACATCAGCGTGGACCCCGACCATGCGCTTGTACGCTGCTGCTTTTCATTGCGCTTTCCAGGTCTACACGAAACATGCACACGTCGTTTAGTTACCGAGAAGCTAGTGGATCCAGAAATTAAACGAAACTATCAGAACCAGCTCCTCAAACGCCTACCGGACAGCTTAATGTTGGATATAAACGGCCACTGGGGAAATACCTTCAAAGAGCTACTCACAGCAGGAACTGTCCTATGCCGTATAACCCAGACAACATCCAAATATTAGATCTATGATAGGATCATGTCTTTGCTGGAGGCAACATGACAGATTCCCTCTAGCTGCAACCACAACTCCGCCGGACGCCGGGTAAAACTGAGTGTCCATACAGACCGAGAAGTTTGATGGACCCTAAATGCCGAAGAAATGGAAAATGCAAAAAATGCCGGAATTGTCCGCAAGCTGATTCGTCCGACTGGTTCTCAGAAGCTTATTGTCAGCAAAATTATCATAGGCCAAAATGGCTTCATGATATCCAGCAAAGCAGAATGCTTGAACCGCTGGACACACCCTAACTCAGCCAGTACCTGTCAAGCCTATTTGGGTCCATCTGGAAGAGACCGTCTCAGAAAACTAAGGTGGACAGATAATAATGTCCATTTCCAGAAACAGTACTCGCAGTGAATTTTGTAACCAGATGTATTAGTTTGACTACTGTTGTGAAGGGGTTTCTGGGGCCACTGATTCTTTGTCTTACGGTGGCAAGAGAAACTGTAATTCGTGAGAATCAAGTGGAATTTCGGGTGAAGGCTACGGTGATCACATTCTCACACTCCGTCAGGTGCTGGAGCAACTCCAGATGTACAGACGACCCACAATCTTGGTAGTCTTTGACTTCAAGAGTGCGTTCGATTCTGTCGATCGGTGAGTGCTGTAAATTACACTTGCTCAACAGGGTACGCCCAAGAAGTTTGTGAACGTAATCCAATCCACATATTTACATACTCCTGGGTGTGATAGTATATGGTGAGCTATCCGAAAGCTTCCCTACAAAAAGCAGTACTACTGAGATAGTTCAGTAGTTCGAGCGCCAATTTACTGATCGAAATGTTCGTGGTTGGAACCTTGCATCTCGACTCCCCCTGTCTAGGCTGTCGGTCTGTTCTTCTTGAGATGCTTGCCCACCAAGGAATGCCCCGGAAGTTTGTAAACATAATACGTTCTTTGTATTCTCAGACTTCCGGACGTGTGAGAGTGTACGGAGAGCTCTCCAAAAGTTTCCGCACACAAAGCGGTGTCCGTCAGGGATGCCCACTCTCTCCATTCCTTTTT